GCACTATTTTAGTTTTCGTTCAGTATCCATTTTGAAAACCATTGGTTGATTAATTGGAATCGTCTAGTGTGGACCAACCTAGATATCGGTATCGGTAAAATCCACTATCTGCCGACCTCTAAAAAAAACACATAAGATGACAGTATAAATATAGTTATATTTCATTCAATAATGAAAAGTATTGATAAAATTATTTTCATTTTATTTTACTGTTTGTGCATTTTGCAAACGTTATTTATTTATTTACTATTACTATTTTTCGACAGCTTTTCTCAGGTTCAGACTATGGTGCACATACTTGCTTTTTCCCTGTTTTCTGCTTCTGCTGAAAAAATGCCAGTTAAATTTTAATTTGAAGCACATGGATTAATTCAATGAAATTATTATAATTAAAATTGCATATTTCTTTGTATTATTTATGCTTATTTGAGAACTGCATTGTTAGATTAGCAATGCAAACTCAGTTAAAATCAATTGGAGGAGATGTTGACCAATACAAACTGGTCACTTGTGAAGTTAAGATGCTGACTAGGTAGACAGTAGGCATGAACTCAGTGTGAAGAGAGGGGCGGAGCCGAGAGCCGTGGGAACGGAGCGAGGCCGGTGGAGTAATTGCGAATGCGCGACACCTGCGCCACTCACTGGTCTCGAGTCTCATGGAGGAGCTCCGGAAGGATACAAAGGAGGAGTGACGACAGGGAAAGACGAGAGAGGACCAGGCCTGGATTTTATTTTGTGTTTTGGTTTTGTTTGTGGCCTGTCGTGCTGTTTTGAGTTTATTTTATTATTAAAGTTTCTTTGAATGTTCGCCGGTTTCCGCCTCCTTTTTCCCGACCTACAAACGTTTGTTACACTCAGTTTACTGGGTTTTGGAACAGAGTTCATGTGTCATCTGCAGAGTCAATTCAACATATTTTATTATTGTGCACCTGTGTGTCAATTCTGCTGATGAAATATTGAAAATATGTCTTTCCACAAATCTCCAGTGGATTGAAAGTCCATCTACTCTCACTGACTGCTATGAGCATGAGATAAGCAAAGGCATATTTGCTTGAATTTGAAGCTAAGGTTCTGTTGTAGTGTACATGCTGTTGAGCTGAGAACTGGAAGAGCGGCTATGCACATTCTCAGGGTCCTTGCCATGCCCGCGGCCTTCTCTCTGCCTGTGCTGGGCCTGTAGTGACACCCGCATTCATCATCCACAGCTGTCTGCTTCTACTATAAATCTCTGCCTACAGTGCCTACCCACCACTCTCAAGGAATTAATAGCCCCCAGGTCAAACTAGAAAAAACTTGGAAATGAGTATAGAATATTCACTAGTCAAGCATGCCAGGTGGCCCTTTGTGGATGTTTTGCATGGGAGCTCAGGGCAATGAGGTGCAGAAGGGTCTAGATGGCCTGGTTGGACATGGCATAACAGGTCATGGCTTTCGCCGCCAAACCGTTGTCTATCCGCCTGAGTGGATCTGGTTTCGTTTGCAGCTTATTTAACTTATTCTTTCAGAGTTCGTTTTGTTTTGCTCAAACCTTTGCTAGACCACAGCTCATTTGCATACACTGTATTAAAATGTAATTTTCCTCACAAGCTCAACAGTCTTGAACCAAATGCTAATGCTAATTAGCATGCTAACATGAGAAGCATCTTCACTTTCAAAAAAACAATTTAGCCACATGACCTATGGGAAAATATGTTATCAGCTCATGGCTGCTAGCCATTTAAAACAGACCATCTAAAAAGTCGTCTTAAAGAGATGGAAAAGGTGAAAATGTTGTCATCATTTACATGCAATTCCAAACCTATAAAACCCTCTTTTGTGAATAAAACAAGATATTTTGACGAATTTGGTAATTAAACAGGTTTGGTTATCATTGACCTCCATATAATGGACCACAAAAAATAAATAATAATAATAATATAAAATAGAAATAAATAAATCTTAAAATCAGTTATTTTTCTATTATTTATATTATTATACTAATTATTTATATGCTATTGTAGAATTTATTACAATTTTGAATTGGCTTTTATTTTTACATTGTAAGTTTTATAAGTTTTCAGTTAATTTAACATTAAACTACAACAACACAGCTCAAAATATTTATGTTCCACAGACATGAGGGTGAAACAATGACAATTTCTGGATGAACCATGTCTTTCATTTATTTTTTGTTTTATTTCATCAACATATTCTAAAATATCCTACATATTCCTTGCATTTGCACACTACATGACTGACACAAAAGACAAAGACCACTCCTGCTGTTTCAGGCTGGCCAGTATTCCAGTTCTGAGCTTTTGCCAAATATTAACAGTCCTGCGGTGCTTACCGAAACAAATCTGCTGGATAGCGGATGGGAGAGAGCGAGTGTGAGAGGGAGAGAGGCTGGGTCAACCTATCTATCAGAACTCTCACATCCATAGAGCTGGCTCTGGAGCAAGTGTCCAGAGAGCAGGGACAGTTTCATCCAGTCGGCCCAGCAAAGTGACAAATGACAGTCACCATGCGCACATCCTGGAAACTGGTTGTGATGGCGGAGCACAAAGGAAGGGAGCCAGAGTCCAGCTCAGCAGTGGAGGCTGCTCAGTATCCAGTCATTAGTGCTGGCAGACCCCTGTGCAGCCACACGCCCCGCCATACCCTGATTACTGCCCTTCACGCTCAGCTTGAAAGACGGACAGAAGGCAGCTCTGAGGAAGCCTGCGACTATCTATACAATACTCTTCTTCATTTGAAGAAAGAGAAAGACATTTGTTGTTATTTGTGCTATTGTGATATTGTTATTTGAGCTAAAAAACTTCATCATTTTATTTTGAAAAAGCTGTGGTCTTACACAAATTATTAATTGAGTGCATATTCTTGTGATTTTATGTTAAAACCAATTTTTGCATCCTCTGTCCTATATACAGTAAATAGATAAATGCAGTGTTAAATGTGTATGTGCATTACCTTTTCATCAACATGACTGCAGTAAGCATCTTGTGCCACAGGGTGGTACACTCTACAACACCACTGTCTACTTCTAATAATAGTTACTATCACATGAGTTTAACAGAACAAAAATACCCCAGAGCAGGCAAAATGTGTAGTGAATAACAGTAAAATAAAAAGGAAATTCATATAAAACAATAAATATTAAATATATAATAATATCAATATTATAAATAATATAAATATCATAAATATAATAAAAACAAATTATAAAATTAGATTTTCTTTTTTCTTTTTGCATGTTCTATGCATGTATAACCAGGCTTATAATTAAAAGGAGTAGAATATACAATAACTATATCAGAAAAAACAACAACAGATGAATGCATTACACATTTCAGTGACCAAAATGTCATTTTTACTTCACAAAAAGTAAGAGCACAGCATTAGTAAGCTACTGTGAACATAGTAATTGCAAACACAACAAAGTCTGGACATTTTAGGTTGAATTGAACCCAGCTAAAAATGCAATATGGCAGTCTTGAGGTCATGTCATCCTGACCAGATCGTTGATAGTCTCATGCCATATTACAAACCCCATGTGTCTGAGCGGCCACACGTGATCCATAACAACTACATCATTTTCAGCTTCCACATCAAATGTGAGGTTTTAAAAGCGGAGAAGTGTATAAAATTACTTTTCATCCTTGGGCTCAGACTATGAGAAAGAGTGTGAGGAGGAGGTATCTATCATTATGGCCACTCTTGGGTGGGTGAAGGATGTATAAGTTCTGCTATCTCGTCTTGAGCAGCTCTTAGCATCCAGTTCACCTATCTAGCAGAGCAGTGTTATGTAAGCGTTCGCTATATCGCAGCACACATGAGACTGATTACTGTAATCTCTGACATGGGTGGCAGTTTTTTTCAAAACTCAGCACAGTGAACAGGGAATGAAATGAGTTTTTTACGCAAACGCCGTTGTTGCAGGTTTTTAGCCCTGCGATAGGAGGGCCGGTCTGAGATGGAAACGGCAGTGATAGCTTGATGGTGGGTCATTAAAAGATAGCAGGCTGTTGTAGCACTCACTGCGAAAAAGGAGGTTCTGTTGTCTGCTGTTTGTTCAGCATGAATTAATGGAGGATCTCGCCAGCAGCCGTAAAAACAGAGTAATTGCCTATTTCCAGCTAAATTAAAGATCAGTCCATTTACTGATAATGTTATCCAGACTTGACAACGAAGGAATGTGGAAATGAACAGCTGATCGAAGAGAATTACATCTAACTTCTGCAAACAGTATAATGGCTCTTAGAGGGTGAATTGAAAGCAAAAACAAAACCTGTCTGGATCATATTTCACCTCAAAAATCAAAGGGAAAAAAAAACACTTTTTGAAACTTTTTTAGGACTAAGATGGCTTGCATTGTGACAATTTTCATGAAAAGGTTTTTCAATATCATTACTGCATTTATATTACATTTACCACAGTCAATTTTTTGTTGTCTTTTGATGAAAACCTTCCTTAAATTAGGTTTTTAATGTATTATAATTACATTAAAAATAACAATAGATAAATAAATAACAATAAAAATAAATAAAAAAAGAATGGCCCTACAAATAGGATTCATTTTCTTTATTTTATTTTTTTATTAAGTGGTGAAATGTGACATTTTAATTTTGCATTTACAGATGTCTTCATGTCCAACTGTTCAGCAGAATCTCTTTGGGGTTCCCTTTTTGAGAATGCTGCATATCATTATGCAAAGTCTCATCTCATCCAATCACCCTAGCTTCTTCTCTGGCCTGTGGAACCTTAATCAAATGATTCACCACAACTGAAAACTCCAATTAAATACGCCTGAAACAATTTCCCATCTGGGCAAATAGCGAATTTCATTAGAGAAACACACCACGGGTTACGGTGTCTGCTCTATCCTTTTCACAAGATAAGCTGTACTGAATCTATTATTCTGCTCGGACGGTCTATTCAAACTTGTTACCTCTCAGTCCAGACAAGGATATGGTGATATGATGCATGTCGTTGAAAGAGCGAGGTTCGTCCAGACCACCTACCTCTTTCAGGCAACCCATAAAGTTGTTGCTGACAGGAGACCCAGGTAAGTCTGCTGTGCTTGGACTTCCTCCGACGTAGAAGAAATCATCTGATCCCAGCATTGTGTAGTCCTCCTGTGTATAGCCTGTTGTGGTCAGGATGCCGTCCACGGATATTGTCACCTGATTGAGAGGAATGACAAAAGGAGAGGGAAAAATCCATTCATGAACATCATGTCTGTGACGACCACTCGACCAGGAATAGGTTAGCTTCGATCTTGCTGGTTTGTTGACAGTCTTTGATTGTGTATCAAAGGCCTGCACTTCGAGACTTTTAGTAGGCCGTTCTTGTCTAGTATTCATAGGCTTACAAAGGACAGGTAAAGAAAATATTTTTCCGGTATATTTTCTTTATCTTTGATGGTGTTAGAAATAGTTTTCTGGTTTGGGACGTTAGTTTGAGGGGTTAGTGTTATGTAACAAACTATAGACAAATTGCTTGTTTTTAGTTCAAATTCTGTACACACTGGGTTAGTTGAGTTGGTTTGGATGCATGCATCCAAAATGAGCTAATACTACCACAAATGAGCATGCAACACAGATGGTCTTTTTCTGATAAAACGTTAATAGTGACATACAACCACTGCAAACATGGAATCATGCATCTTCTTCAAGCCAAGACAACATGCAAGAGGAAACAGCACATATAAGACCAAAGCAAAAGCTACAGTATGAGGGGTAATGAGGGAGGACACAGGCAGTCATGACCTACACCACAGTACAAACAGGACAGGATACTTGGCAGATGGTGGGTTGCTCAGACAAGAGTTTTGGTGTTAGTAACACAAGGGCTGATCCAGCATGAATGGGTCGGTGCGGCATGTGCAAACAACTGGAATCAACTGTCAGAGCTCCAGTGCTGAAATTGTTTTTTATTATTTTATTTTCATACTATTGTTTTCATCGCTTTTTTGTTTTGGAAAGCTTCTGCCAGTTTTTGACAGTATTTGATTGAAAAAAATGTAAGAAAAGAAAAAAAGGGCTTCTTAAACAGACTAAGCCTTCAAAAACTAAAAAAGGGCCAAAGAGGAAGTTCAAAGAAAGAAAGATACAAAATGTCAGTAAAGCTGTGGTGAAAAATGGGATGAGGACATTTGAAATGAAAAAGGAAGAAATCCCCAAAATACAAACCCCAGTCTGTTTATTTTTTTATGAAGCCATGAAATCCCAAAAAAGAGAAAGAAAGAGGGCCAGGAAAACACATGGTAAACCCAAAAAAGGACAATAAGAATGATAACTACCAGACAATGTAGTTTGTTTACCATAGCGTGTCCAATACCTGAATGCTTTGAGAAAAGGGGGAAGAAAGGAAATTAAACAATGAACAAAAGGGTTGTTAATAAAATGAAATAAACTGAAATGAAGTCATGATGAGTAGCACATTAGTTTAGGTTCTGGTTAGTAAATTAAAGACTCTAGTCAATGGTTCATGAGTGGTTAGTCTGGGTCTGAATAAATGTCATCCACAGAGAAGCAAAGCATATGAGTGAGAGTAAGAAAAGTTGGAAAAGAAAAAGAAACAGCAGATTCTCTACAGAGCCTGTGGCATTTCACTTTTGTAAAGGCATTGCTCTTGTTGGCAAGATCTTAAAGTGCAGACTCACTTCCAGAATATATTTTTCACCAATAATTCAATTTTTTTCTGTCAAAACACATTTAGCTTTGATTTTCAGGTCCTTTCTAAAATAATGTTTCAGAACGTGTTGTTTTCTGCTACAACCGTGAATTCTGACCTCTATCAAGCTGCCTCTTTGTTGTGATTCATTTGGTTTTTGACTTTCCTCGGGCAATTGCATTAGGTAATTCTAATGCATGTTCTTGTGATAGTAAAACAGCTATTAAACAAAGTGAAAAAAAAATGTCACAGTCCTAGTGGATCAGAGCTGAAATAGCTAGTGCTTGTGGGCACTCACGCCTCTACACACGCCTGCGCAAAAAGCGACATCCTTTCACTCCTGAGGGGCAAAACCAGCCTAAATATTTACATATTTTAAAATGCAGCAGCGGAGTGATTTAACAGTTCAACAAAGATTGGCTGTGGGTAAATGGAACGGTTGAGGTTGGTTGGAGCCTCTCCCCGCTGCCCTGATAAGACAGACTATTTGGAGAAGTGAGGTGAACATCTAGAGGGGTGACAGAGACAGCCTCTTGAAGCCATCGCACTGATAGCTTCAGACAGAGGTATATGCCTGAGGAGGCAAAACATGAGGCAGCGTAGAAGAACTCAGAGAAGAAATAGTTGCATTAGCATCTCAAAGAACTTAAAATAACCGAAAATGCTAATTTAAACAATATACAATGGCATTTAGTTCTGAATTAGATCAGAAAACATAACATTTCAACCGCTTTAGCATTACCTGTCTGAGGTTGCGTGTGACCTTCACGTCATGCCAGGCATTGTCGTTGAACTTGCCATTGACAGGCTCGACAATGGCCTCGAAGGCTCCGGAACCCAAGTTGATGACCAATGAAACGGCCCCATCTTTCAGGGCCAGGTTGACATAGTCTGCTGACTTGCCGGTGTGAAGGATAAGGCCATTTCTTTGCCAGGTCTTGAAGGACAATGTGATCTCATCGCTGCTGCTCTGGATGGGATTCTGAGACAAGTCGTAGCAGAAGTACTCAGAACCTCGGAAAGTGGCCACGTTCTCTTCTCGTGCTATAAGAGAGGAGAAAAATGGGGTTAGAACTTCTTGAAACTAAACAAACCCAAATATACAAGCTCTGAAAGTTTCCTGAGACCGACCACTGAAGGAGTGCAATTAAGGTCAGGCCAGATGACACAAAATGAGACAAGATGACACATAGCCAAGTGTGGGCAGCAAAACACACAGAGGCTGTGCATTTAAAGCCAAAGATCTGGTGAGCTCATCAGTGAGATAATTTCTCTTGTTGAAGCATATATGCGCTAATGTTCAGTATTTGTGTTGCATGTCTCATATGAGTCATAATCACAAAAGTTGCAGTGCCCTCCAATCCATCAACATCAACATCAATATTGGTTAAACTCCTCAAACTATGACAATATGCCTGATCCATGAGATCATCCAGAGATGATACAGATGCTGCATCTGAAGTGGCATTTCGATTTATTTCCGTAGACTGTTTAATGCGACTCAGAGGTGGGATGAATGCATATACACTACATAAATAATACTAACATAATTAAAACAACAATTATGATATTATTGTAGACAATGCATTTCATACACCTCTATTTAAAAATACAGTAAAATAGAACACAAAGCATAGTTCCTAATAACATCCTTTAAAGTCAATAAAATGGGATGCTACCCATTTTACGGCAGTACATATTTCACAGTGAAACGAAAAAATGTAGGGCGGGACTAGGGATGTAACGATTACCGGTGTGACGATAAATCATGATAAAATTCCCCACGGTTAGTATTACCGTTTCATCTTTTAATTATCACTAAAACCGTATTAGATTACCGCGATTTGAACAACTCGTGATAAATAAATACTGTCCAGCATAAAGCACAGTTTTAAGTAACAGTCTCACGTGCGCACAGCACACAGAGTTGTTTCGTTTTGAGTGAAAACAGGGCGGAAAAGCTGGGAGGTTTTAAAAGAGTGCTAAGGGAATTATACAAATGAATATATGAATGAATGAATTATATGAATGTACCTCTGAAGGTTCTGACTGTCTTCAAAAACGATTCGATGGCATTTTGTTTTCATCTTCGCTCCATGTAATACCTAAACAAAGTGTTCTTAATCGCAATACTGCTTTGTCCACGGAGGTTACGGGAAACAGCTCTAATTCAGCTTTCCAATAAGCGCCACCTGCTGTCAGCGAGTGGATTTACATTCAGCTTGCGTGCAGTTTTTGTCTGGCCAAAAACGGACCAAATTTGCATGCCCTGCTGTAAATTTTGACCGGTTGATGAAAAACAAGCTTATGTGGATTCTACACATTTAAACAATTCAGATAAGTTATCTAGAATTATTTATGGAGCAGATAAAATACATATAATAATTTATTAATCAATTATCATTTTGACATATCTTTTCTTTATTTAAAGGCTGAAATGTGATGTTTACCTTTTTATTAAACTTTTTCAAAGCTTTATTTGAACATTTACATTAGATATTTCAACATGCTATTAAACTGTTGTCAGTCAAGTTGTCATTTAAAATCCGAACATCATTGGTAATGTTATTGTATTAGTGATTATGCAAACAAAAAGCCATTTTATTTGTTGTTTGTTGATTTTCAAATATAAAACTTGGTGAAGTGATTTATGTATCGGTACTTTTTAACATCTCCAGCACATTTTAACAATACCGTGATAATACTGATAACCGTGATCATTTTGGTCACTATAATCGTGATAAGAAATTGTCATACTGTTACATCCCTAGGCGGGACTTGAATTTATCCATGAGGTTTTGATTGGATCAAGAAAAATGGTCTCTATATGAAAGGTGGTTAATGGGGAGGAGCTGTAAAAAAAATGTAAAAAATTAAAATAAAATTGGTGTGATCAGCTGAACAAGAAAGTAATTTCAGAGGTGGAAGATGATAGATTATGAGGAGAAACTTTGATAACAGCAATTTTATATCAAGTTAAGTAGTTTTAGTGATTGCATGCCAAGATCCCATTGGTCATTGTAATTCAGAGTAGATTATCTACTGCATCCACACTTATGGAAATAAGTTCACTCCTGGTTCCTGTGGTCCCCAGGCCATTAATCACCAAGCTATGCTGATGTGGCTCAGAGGAGGCAAAAATACACATATCTAATGGAAAGTTCCTCAAAACCAACACTGGACATCATTTACATCAGGCAGCCAGAGAATGGCCTCAGCACTAATGGCATTATTGATTTATCAGTGCTTCACTTGGGCCACCGTGGGGTCGATATATTCTCTGGCTAAATGTTGACAAAACACTCACACGTCCAAGTCTATGCTCCACCTCAGCGATCAGCATTAGTGGATGTAGCATGTGTTTTAACTGACCGGGTAAAGACATCTTGACCTGTTTTTCACTGAACTAAGGGAGCCTGAGCGGACTGCAGGGTTGCAGAGCAGATTTTCTCATCAGGGCTGGTGCTAGTGCTCAGCTGTGATACACTTCACATGGTAATAAACTCATGGTTAAGAACGGAGCAAACTGACTGACGGTGGAACATATTGGAAACACATGGGACCCTGATGCAAAAACAAAAATCCACTACTTCTGTGCAGTCAGAGAGATGATTCAGATTGTATCGCACATTACGAGGCTGAAAGAAACAGATTAATGAAAGATGACTGGATGGATAGTGGGAAAGAGTTTTGTCCAGCAGGAGAGGGTAGTGTATCATCCATGTGTCAAAAACTGGCAATTAGATGTAATTGGCTACTCGTAGTGCAAATCCCACACTGCTGAAGAGACTTTCAATCTATTAATATTTGGCTAGACTGTACAGGAAAAATAAAGAGAGCTTAATGTTTAGCCTGTGGAGATTACTGGACTTTGCCAAAGAGGGTCAAGGAGTACCCTAGCATCGTTCAACAAAACAGGTCTTTACAGGTCTTCTCATAAAATTCAGACCCACTCTGCATTGCTAGTCCACTTAGTGTTCATGACATTCACAACGGAATATAAATGTAATATAAATAATTTTAATAGCAATAATTTTCTAATAGGGCTGCCGCCTAATAGTCGACTAACCGTTAGTCGACGAGAATAGGCTTAGTCGATCAAAATTGTATTAGTTGCTTAGTCGCAGAAAAAAAAACCCACAGAAAGTGGCGAAGTCAGATTAGTTAACAGCTGGTCTGTGTGGTAATTAATACATTGGTCAGGACATGCAAATGTTTGTTTCGTTCATCGACCTCGAATGTGGCTTATCAGCTGAAACATGCAAGTAGTAGCATCATTACATGGCCGCTCGCTTTAACGTTAACCTAAAAAAATGTGCCCTTTTCAAATAGGGCTGGACAAAAAAAACCTATCTCGATTTCTTTGATCAATTCTGCGATTTCGATTTTAATCATGATTTTGACACACACAGACATGCTTTACAGTCATTAATGCATTCAGTGATAATTTGAAACATTTCCAAAAGAAAACCAATTAGAGCTTTATCAAAAAGCTGTAACATGTCTCTAGAACAGACATAAGGCAAAATAATCACTAAGTAAAGGTGTAACAAAATGTCCCTAGAATAGACATATGGCAGAAAAAAATTAAAAAAAATTTTTTTTGCCATTCATTGGTCATAGAGCTCTTCGTGGCATTGCCTCAGATGTTGAACTAGATTTGTTGAGCCAAGTTCACACGTACTCCGTCTGCAGTGCGTATACAGTATGTGTATGCGGTGCAGAAGCAGCACAGACTTATCCTGACTAACTTGGCGTGGTAACCGCATCCCTGAGATCCTGCCCTTCCGTTAAAGAGCCTAGAGAGAGTACTGATCAATTATTAATTAAACAGTGTTGTTTTTACTAAAGACATTTTACTGCCAGATGTTACCCTGCACAATCATCTTAAGCTCTGAATACTTAATAAGTGTCACCTTCCCATGCTGATATGATGTGGGATCACACACTGAGCAAAGTGGAAGATTTTTTTAAATTCTAGAATCAAAATAAATGAAGAACACTTTCATGAGTTTTGGGTCAGTAAGATTTAAAAAAAAATGTGTCACATGATCCTTCAGAAATCATTCTAGTATGCTGATTTGGAACTCAATAAACATTTCTTATTATTATCTGTGTTGCTGCTTAATATTTTTGTGGATTACATCCATTTAACCTTATATTTTAAATACATTTTAACACTTAATAGGCTAAAGTTCAAATTATCAGACTATGGTTTTGTTTATTATTTAACAAAACATGATCAATCTTATAACATGTGGCTGCATTGACAACATTAATTATTTTTAACAGTCCATATTCTAAGACCCACCAAACAGTCCTATTTTTCTAAGCTCTAATATACATAAAGAGACAGAAAGAGAAATCTCATTGCCAGACATTTGGCCAACAGAATTAATTGATCTGCTTCCACAAGCTATGTGTTCATTCATTGAATACATTTTTCAACATGTCAATATTTTAGTTAAGGATAATTAGAAGACAGTACACATAGTATACAGTATGTGGGATTCAATACCGGCCTTGCAGAAAATCCAAATGAGATTAAAATACAGAATAGCTACCATTTATTCATTCCTTTGTATTTGTTTTTAAACTTCCTCCTTTATAAAGTTTCCAGCCTATAATAAAGAACTGTCGCACAGACTACTGTGAACAAAAACCCGAGCACAGAAGCACATTTCTCACAGTTTCTGTCTCACTACAGCACTCTTTTCAAAACAAACCTTATCTGTATAGATTTTTAATGAAAATCCTCAAGGGGGCAAAGGTACTTAATCTCCTCTATAATGGAGAATCCGACAGAAAGGAGGGGTGAGGTTACAGCCTGTGTGCGAGATAGTAAACGTGCTGAATTATGAAATCTTAATGAAAACATCATTATTAGTCAAATCGGCACCAGGGACAGAGATTCTTATCGAGTCATAATTGCAATGGTCCGCTAAATCTTTTTCCGGAGACGGATGGTGGTGGTTTGGTCAGAGACGTGCTCATGCGTAAAGGTGTCAGAGGCTCACGAGTGGAGAAAAGTAGTGTCGTTAGAG